GAGAGAGAGGCCCAAACCAAGCACAGAACATTCTTTTACAAAGAAGCTACAATGGTATTGGCATAAAACAGGCATATAGACCGATGGAGCAGATGTCCCAGAAATAAACCTCTGCATCTATGACCGACCAATTCTCAAGAAAGGAGCCAAGCACACAAATTGGAGAAAAGACAGCATCTTATAACAAATGATGGTGGGGAAACAGGCCACATATAGAAGATTGAAACTAGACCCCTGTCTCTCACTCAACTCAAAAAGCAACTAAAAATTGATGAAAGATCTTAATTTAAGACCTGAAACTTTGAAATTGCTAGAAGAAAACATATGTGAAACACTTCAATATATTGTCACAGATAATGATTTCCTGAATCAGACTCCAATAGCTCAGGAAAAAAGAGCAAAAATTGACAGATAGGACACCCCATTAAAAAGCTTGACCACAACAAAGGAAAGAAGCAGCAGAGTGAAGAGACAACCTAAGGAGTGGAAGCAAATATTTGCCAGCTATTCACCTAACCAAAGATTAACATCCAGAAATATAAGAATTAAAAAAAAAATCAAAGAACTAGTAATCCAATCAGAAATAGGCAAGTGATCTGAACATACATTTCTCAAAAGAAAGAAAATATATAGCCAGGAATGGTGATGTATGCCTGTAATCCCAGCTATGCAGAATCTGAGGCAGGTGGATCCCAAGTTTGAAGCCAGCTGGGGCAACTTAGTAAGCTTGTCTCTAAATAAAAAGCAAAAGAGGCTGGGATAGAGCTCAGTGTTATAGCATTTGCCTAGCATGTGTGATGCTCTGGGTTAGATTGCAGGACCGTGGGGTGTGGGGGTGTGAGGGGGAGGAAAACAAGACTATTGTGTGACAAATGCAAATGTATCTTTGTCTTTGGAGATTTCCTTATGGGTTGTTCAGGATTCACACTTTGTGTGCAGATGCCTAAAAGCCTTCGTCTCCGAGCTCAATTTATCTCTGAGGTCATCATGTCTAATATAGAACTAGGACTTCACTGCAGTGAATATTTAATCACTATTACTGGCATTCTGATTTTTGATTGATGCTTTGGTA